GGGGGGGGGGGCAGCCTGGCAGCTGGAGAGAAGTACCCAGGGTGCCTTCTCAATTCAGAACATGTGGTAGAACAGAAAACAACATTAGACTTACTTAAAAAAATCAGCTGATAGAAAACAACCATGGTCCCCTCCTAGGTGTTCATCCCAGCGCTGGGGCGTGGGGGGGGCGGCAATGGAGAGCCTCCCTTGCTTTTTCATTCTATAATCCGCTAAATGGGAGGAGAATCCATTGGAAAAAGCCCTGTGTGCAGATGGAACCCAGGAAAGATGAATTCCGGAGCCGCACAGGGAAGCCCTCAGATCTCTGGGAGACATTTATTAGACCACCTTGATTCTTTTTCTCATGCCCAGAGGTTGGCTTCACAGGCCAGTTTTTGATTATGCAGATATCTAAACATGACAGGGTCTGTTATGCCACAGTTAGCAAGTACTTAGCTCAAATGTTACCTGTTCGGAACACTGGGTGGAGAAACCTGGGAGTTAAGTATTTTTCCAAACGCTACTCCTGGCATCTCCCGAATGACAGTCACATACAGCAGTGTGGCTCAGAAGCCGGCATCCCCAGGGCTTAGCGTCCAGGCTCCCACTGCCCTCCTGGTGCGATACCACCACGTCCTGATGTCCCCCTCCCTGCCAGCTCACCCAGCACCAGTTGGGCTCGATTGCCAGCTTGTCATATTGGCCTGTCCCAAGATGCGGCCTCTTAAATGTCTGACTTGACCATCCCTTGCAGGCCACGGCTCCCCACCTCCACTGCCCGGGTCACCAAGGCTTCCAGGGTCCTTGTCACCTCCAGACCCTGCGAGGGAAGAGCTGGAGAGTCAGCGGGGGCCGATGGCCAGGATGCTTCCGTAGCATCCACCCCTCTCTGAACTCCTCCGAGAGTTCAATCTAAGCCCGATCTAAGCCGTCACCACCACCCGCCCGGCGCCCCTGGTGGTTCCCTAGTACCCCCAGAGTCGAGTCCCACACTGGTCAGGCCAGCATCGTGGCATCATCTGGTAACCTGTTAGAAATGCAAAATCTCCCCTCCCACCCCAGGCCCCCTGACTCAGAAGCTCTGGGTGGGGGTGGGGGGCCAGAATTTCAGAACCCAGAAGGCTTTCACAGGCCTTCCAGGTGATTCTGCTGTACCATGAAGGCAAGGACCTGTGTCTTGGAGCATGCCTTCTCTGGCCTTGGGAGACCCACCTCTCCATGCCCTTCTGCATGATCTCCCAGCCAGCCCTCCCCTCTTGCAACTCTGAGCGCCAGCCATGCTGGGCCGCCTTCTGTGTTCCAGCCCCCGGGCTATCTTGTTCTTTCCACACTTCCTATGCTATAGAGTCTCCTGTCTCTTTGTCTCTTCCCTCAAGTGGAGCCCATCTGAGAGCAGGGACCAAAGCCTACCCACCGCCATATATACTCGTGACCAGCACCTGCGGTCAGTGAGAAAGATACACTTGTCGAGCGAACGGATAAATGAACGGAGACACTCCCTGGATTCGTTAGTCCCTAATGCCTTTGCTCGGAGTGCCTCCCTGTGGAGAGCCTGGTCGCTCTCCTGCTCCCCACGCGTGCTTTTAGCCAAGTAAATCATCTTGACGTACATGGGTTGGGTTTGAATGTAGAGCACTTTAGTCAGGCTGGAGGGCGTGGGTTCTCGTCTGCTTTGCTCACAGGCACTCGCTCCTCTGTGCCTCAGTTTCCCCATGCTGCCCGTCTACCCCCCAGAAGCAAAGGGCTCAGGATTCGATCTGTCTCGCAGTACCCATTATCCACCTTCAGAGGACCTGTCACACACTGAAGGGATGCTGAGGGTCTGGACTATCAGAACTCCCTGCCGTGGGGCAGCCCGCGTGGTTCAGTCGGGTAAATGTCTGGCTCTCAATTTCAGCTCAGGTTCTGATCTCACGGTTCATGGGATTGAGCTCCACGTTGGGCAGCTCAGAGCCTGCTTGGGATTCTCTCTCTCCCTCTCCCCTGCTCACGCTTGCTCCCTCTCCCTCAAAATAAGTAAGTACACTTAAAAAAAGGGAAAGAACTACCTGTCATGATGGTAGAGAGAACACAATTCCTCTCCTTCCAGGTATTGGCTTAACGGGAAGCCAAAGTGCCAGGAACAGAGGAAACCCATGAGCCGTAACGAATGCCTGCCTGAACGTGTGCGCGTGACTCCTGAATGTGAATTGGCAACTGAATGTCTTTGGGTTCACGGAACAAGAGACGGACCAAGGGAGCTGACGGGGCATTTTGTCCAGTGTCTTCCTATTACAGAGGAGCAAACTGAGATCCAGAGAGAGGGAATCACTGAGTCTGGCTCAGAATCACCTGTCTGGTGCTCCACGAGGACCGCATCATAAATGTTTTCCCCGTTTGTAGCCTGCCTTTTATTCCTATTAGTTGACATAAAAAAAATGTCTTAAACTTTTGTGAATGTCAAGTCTAATGACATTTTTGGGTACGTTTTCTCCCAAATCTCAGACAATTTCTGCCAAGTTCTTTATTCACACACATGCACACACATACATACGTAAACACACACGTATGCATACATGTGCGCACACACCTTGGGTTAGCACAAAGTTGCCAAGGGAAATTCATTGACTAGGCTCTATTTTCACAATGTTGGTCGAATGTGTTGCCCTTTTTGAGTTATTCTGTGTTCTCCTGAGAAACCGGAGAAGGCGTGTGTTCTCTGAAATGTTACTACTGGCACGTTTCTCTTCCCCAGTTAGCACTTAGCTCTTGTACTTACAGACCCGGTCACACTTACCACCCAGCTGGTCCTTCGGGATGAACATGTCAGGCATGTTCTCATGAGGAAGTCTGTTATTTCTTTGAAGTACGTGTAAGCGGGCATATTTAGTTATGATTAGAACGTGTGCCCATGTGGCAGATACTTGCCTAATTGCACATGACTCTGAAATGTATTCACATTCTCTATCCGGTATGCAGTGTGCCCATTGATCCTCTTAATATCTGTGCTGATGCAAACACTCATGAATCTTTTCCCAACTGCTACGCAGGAACAACCAGAGTGCACCCCCCCCCGCCCCGCCCTTCTCCTTAAAATCTCAGAACACAGAACAGCTACAAAGTAGAGAACAACAGATGCCCCACAGATCCTCTGGAGGCTGGTGATTTTACTCCCCTCCTGGTCAGAGATGGGCTCCTACCTGGGGTCCCCAGCCATGGCATGGGTACAGTATTGCTGTGTGGTTCTCCAGTGGCCCCTGGTCCAAGCAGACGTCTTTAGCCTTGTTGTTTCGAAGCTGTAGGAATAGGCAAAACATCACCCATCAGAGCTCATCTGGTGGAAATTCCGCTGCCCAACCCTTGTTCCGCCATGACTTGGTTCGGACTTTTCTGTGAGGTGATCATTTTGGCAAGAAAGACAAAGTCCTTCAACGGACGGTGTGGGCATGAGCGCTCTGTCTGCGAAACCCCTAGCCCCTGCTGACACACAACTCCCCCGTCCCCAGCACAGAAGAGAAGCCTAGGGAACATCTGGACATAGGAACACCAGTTACCCACTGGTTATCCAGAGTGGGCCTCGACACCAACACTGCTTTTAATAACCCCGGGAATCATGGGTCAGTTTCTGAAGTCACTGCTGGCATGGAGGCATTAAAACCAGTAATCCCCCAAAGCAAACAAAAACCCTGCCGCCAAGCAACAACAATTTATTTATATATTTCTGTACTTATCTACATATTCAAAGAATACTTACTGGATGCCTAGACGGTGGCAGGTACCATGCTAGGTGTTTGGAACGCATCTGTGGCAGAACGGACCAAAGTCCCCAAGACAAAAGCCCAGAACCTAGCTACGCACATCTCTCTGGGAACATGGAAGAATTTGTCTCGTTGGAACCTAGACTGGTGTCCATCCCACCCACCATGTTGCAATCTCAAACCGGTGGGAAAACGTTGTTGGTCTTACACTCGGTCTCCTCCATGGAAACCAAACTAACCAGAGACAAATCAAGAAGGGAGGCAAGGGGCACTTGGCTTCTGTGCTCCCAAACTGTGTTTAGGTTCAGGCAACTGAGCAGAGTTTCACTGCCGTTTTTTTTTTTTTGTTTTACAGATTACAAAAATAACCCCATCCTACTGAGAGATCTTGAAAACTGTAGAAGAAAGTAACAATCGCTCACCATCCTTTCCCAAATTCGGTTAATTTTTTTCCCTAATTCTGAGACAATTTCGTTTTGTTCAAGTTGGACCATAATGAGCAACTGTGTAAAGCTTGTTCACCCTTCAGGTTTTATTAAGAAAATAATCCTAGAACTGCGGTTATGGTAGCAGAAGGTAGGGCTGCCTTAATGTTCTCAAAACCTGCCGTCCAAATCCTTTCCGGGAGCTTCAAAGTAATTTCTATTCCCATCCACAAGGTATGTAAAGACTTATTAGTCCTGAGTTTCATGCTTTAAAAATATTGTGTTGGTCAAAGTATACAAACATCCAAACTTAGATGCTGGGGAACCTAGTGCACAGCATGGTAATCATAGCCAATAATACTGTATCACATACTTGGAAAATCACCCAGCGATTAGAGCATCTTAAATGTTTTCATCACCAAAAAAAGAGATGGTAATTAGGGGATGTAACAGAGGTGTTGGCTAACTCTATGGCAATAATCACTTTATAATATGTAAGTGTGTCAAATCAACATGTTGGACCCCTTAAGCTTATATAGCTTTATATGTCAATTATATCTCAATAAAGCTGGAGGGAAAAAAAAGAAAGCTCCTTGGAAGAAAAATTCTAAAGAAATTGGTGGGGGTATTGCTTTAAACCCAAGTTACCAAAAATGTATGCAGAGGGGTAGAAGTGATGAATCAGATATGTTGGACAAAAGGTCCCAAGCAAGAGATCTCTGCTGAGTCGCCTTGGAGCCCCGTGCTGTGTTTTAGTTCTTTTGTAGATGCTTTGAGGACACGCTCACTGTCGATGCTTTCAATGAGGCAAAGGATAAATTACGTGGAAAAAAAACCCAAGCAAACTTCTGAGTCAAAAAGTAATTCAGAAGAATTAAGATGTTGAAAGTGATAACATCTACCAAATGTATTTTGCTTATGTCTTTTTTTTTAATGTCTACACAAGAGCAGTATTATAAAAATGTGTCCAATGGAGTCTAATGAAGCTTTTAAGAGAAGTATAAAATAAAAATTACAGGTGATAGAGAATATTGTTTTGAGAGGTGAGGAAAGACATTCTTGTTTTTATGAATTGACAATTAATAGGAAATTGGAGAGTTTCAAGTTTAGCAATTGTTTCCCTTTTTAAGAATTATCTGCTTATTTCCCCATTGGGATCTCCGGTGGTTTTATTGTAGATTTAGAAGCGCTCCTAATATATTAAGGTATTGTTTTTATGGCATATTTGTTCCCTATAATGATTTCGGAATGCCAGGCTTTTCAATTTTGTCTCTAATGTTTATGCAAAGAAATCTATTATTCAGTAACTTAATAAATATTATGGAGGGCCTCATACGTGCCTGGGACTGTGCTAAGTTCAATGAATGCAAAAATAAACAACACAGTCCTTGCCCTGAAACAGTCCATGGTCTGGAGAGACAGACACAGGAAGAGCTCGTGCAAAACTGGATTTTTGCCAGGACGGCAATGAAAACACATCCCCATTCCATCTGTATATTATTATATTGCTGTATATTATTATGCTGCACCTGTATGCTTTATGTATACCGTATGTGCATGGTCTTTCATATAAATAATGGTAAGAGAAAAACAAAGATGAATAAAATCAAGCAAGGGGCAGAGGCACTTCAGGCCACGAGGACAGTATGAGCCAACCACAGAATTTTGACCAAAGACCGGGTGAATGTTTTTGTGCTCACTGAGTTGCTTTTACATGTGGAAAAGCAGTATCTCATACATGGAAGAATCAGGTCATAAAGCGGGCACATGTCTTTCTTTAAAAATTATGTTCAGGCAGGGGCGCCTGGGTGGCTCAGTTGGTTGAGCGTCCGACTCGATTTTGGCTCAGGTCATGGTCTCACGGTTCAGTTGATGAGTTCAAGCCCCGCACGGAGCTCCCCACTGACGGAGCTGCGGAACCTGCTTGGAATTCTCTCTCTCTCTTGTTCTCTCTCTCTTCCCCTCCCCTGCTTGCGCTGTCTCTCTCAAAATACATTAAAAAATTTAAAAAATCACGTTAAAGCATTCCAGCTAATAGAGGTGAATAGACATTTAAAAAGCAAGGGAAGGTGGCTTACTCTGTAAGTGGGCCTGGGCGCCATCGCTGTGGTCAGGATGAAAAACACTGGGGCTGACACCTGCTCAGAGGTGTCCGTCTCCCTCTGTCACCATGCTGGGGTCTGGGCATGGCAAACAGGACTGCTAGCAGTAAGTGTTAAAATACAGTTGCCTGAATAATCGTACATCTTGTTACTGAAACGAATTTAACCGTAAAGCTATTCTGAGAGGTATAAAAAGGAAATAAAGGAAAAGAATGTTTGTGCCCCAAACCCCAGATAATATTAGCAAAGGCTGAGAAGTTGATGAACTTTCTCAGTCAAGGAGAAAGTGTGTTAACGTTCTTGTGTTACATGCCCCCTGACCCTTCATTTTGGAGACTCGGGGACGAATTAAAAACAAAACAAAACATTAGAGGTAGCGCAGTTGCTGGATCGTAGGGTTGTTCTCGTTTTAAATTTTAAGGAACTGCCACACTGTTTTCCGAAGCGGCTGCGCCAGTTTGCATTCCCACTGACAGTGCAAGAGGGTTCCTCTTTCTCCACATCCTCAAACATCTGTTGTGTCTTGTGTTGTTGATTTTAGGCCATTCTGACAGGTGTGAGTTGCTATCTCATTGCATTTCCCTGATGATGAGTGAGGTCGAGCATCTTTGCACTACTAGGTACAAAGAATGCAAAAATGCTAATTTAAAGGGGGTACCTGCACTCTGATGTTTACGGCAGCACTATCTGCAACAGCCATGTTATGGAAAGAGCCCAAATGTCCATCGAGTGATGAATGGATAAAGAAGGTGTGGTAAAAAACACACAATGGACTATTATTCAGCCATAAAAAAGAATGAAATCTTGCCATTTGCAACAATGTGGATGGAGCTAGAAAGTATTAAGCTAAGTGAAATCAGTGTGAAAAAGACACACACCATGTGATTTCACTCACATGTGGAGTCTAAGAAACAAAACAACACAGGGAAAAAGAGTGAGAGGCAAACCAAGAAACAGACTCTTCACTATAGAGAACAAAGTGATGCTTACCAGAGGGGTGGGGGAGGGATGGGGATTAAGAAGGGCACTTGTTGTGATGAGCAACAGGTTCAAAAACTAGAACCAGCCCACGATCCAGGAACTGCACTGCTTCTAACGTTTTTTGAAAAAAAAGAAAAAAATTCATCCCTGAGTCTCCAACATGAAGAGTCAAGTGGAGTGTAATATAACCGGGTCGAATCACTACACTGCACACCTGAAACTAACATTACACTGCCTGTGAACTAACGAGAATTTTTAAAAAATCTTTTATTTATTTTTGAAAGAGAGAGACAGAGACAGAGCATGAGCAGGGGAGGGGCAGAGATAGGGAGACACAGAATCTGAAGCGGGCTCCAGGCTCCGAGCTGCCAGCACAGAGCCTGATGCGGGGCTCGAACTCACGAGCTGTGAGATCATCACCTGAGCTGAAGTCAGATGCTTAACCGACCAAGCCACCCAGGCGCCCCTGAACTAACGAGAAGTTAAGTAAAAACTTAACAGAATGTTACAGGTTACCATAATGCAATTAACAATGAGACACAGATAATTCACGTGACGAGGACGTTTTTTTAAAGCCAAGAAACAAGCCCGCTAAAAAACTGGCAAGGAGCAAGGAGCATTAAACCCAGAGATATTCACTGGCCTGGGGAAAGACTCTCAAACAGCATTGTACATGAAAACCGGAGGACATACATTGCAAATATAGTACGATATTCACTCTGCCTTCTTCTTTTTCCTGTTGCTCGGGGGCCTGGTGTGGTGAAAAGAACCAGTAGGAGGGAGTATTAGAAATAGAGTTGTCTAAATAATGGTAGATTTTGTTACCAAACTGAATCTGATTAGTTTGACTTCTTTCATTTAATGTTATAGTCCATATGAAATATATTTTAGCATATGTTGAGCTCAGCAAGCCGAGAAGGAGTGATAAAAGCAAATGCCCTAAAATGTTAACACTGATCATATCTGGGAATTGGGATTTGGAATCACTTTTGTTTCATCTTTATATTTCCTATAGAGCGTATGCACTGAATTTCTTACTTAAAAGAGATAGAGAGATTTGCAAAAACAAAAGCCTCCCCTTTCCCCAAAACCAGTCTATGATTTCTACGTTGACTCCATGGCCACCCCAGTGTTCAGCTCCAGAGACATCATTTACATCGTACTTTATGTGAATGACAGGCCCTGGAGCTGTTCAGTGCACAGCCTGTGGAACTGGGTCCTGGCCATCGTCTTTCATTTTCCTGTTTTTATTCCTTATTTTTTTAATACTGTTTTCCTCCTCATTATGGTGTTATCATATAAACATTAGCAATAATTGGGAACACATGACAAAGTACCCTCACAAAAGCTGCCTGTCTCTCCACCCAGAGGTAACTAGAACCCGTGTCTCCATTTCCCCATGCTATTTTCTCACTTGCTTTCAATCTAAAATAGTAAGTAGCTAATCCAATTTTATAATCCTGACCTTTTCCTCTTAAGAATTAGACTATCAACATTTCTCTCAAGTCATTAAACTTTTGTACATACCTTTCGAAATGGCTGCAAATATTTCAAACGATTAATATGGTATATTTAACTAACCTTCAAGTGAGAGTCAAATTTTTTGATAAAAAAAAAAGTCACGGAGATGAACAATTACTCTCAAATCTTTGTGCTCATTTCAAAGTATTTGCTTAGGATAAGGGTAGAGATGAGAGTGCGACTCTCATTAAGCCTTTTAATACATGTGGTTCAAACTGCTATTTAAAAAGCTTGTTTCAATTTACACCCTCACCAGAGGACCTGTGATTTTTCATATAACCAAGATCTTACTGGCAGGATGCCCACATGTATTCCAAAAATGAACCTTTGTTTATTTGGCAGAAGCACAAAGCTACCTCAATGCATTTTAATGTCTTCGATGATGAAATCAACGAAAAACGTCCATGTTTTTCAACCATTTGTGTTTTCTCTTATACTTTATTTTTCTTTGGGGGTGTTTTATTTTCTTATTTAAATTAATTATTAAGATGTGATTCAGTTTGTGGAGCTCATTAGATATTATTTGCATTGTCCATTCATCTATACTATTCTTGTGGTTTGGCATATTGTTTCTCTATTCAGTTGATGTATAGATTATTTTAACATTTATAAGCTCGGATCCATTATCCTTTACTTTTGCATTTTCTTCCAAGGCTTTCATTCTTAGGAAGCTCTGGCCCTTTCAGAGACCAGCTGCACATGCATTTCCGTATGGTCCTATCATCATTTCTTTTCTTTCATTTAACGCTAAAGTTCATCTGAAATATACTTCAGGATATGGTGAGCTGCAAGGATCTCAACTGTTTTCTTCTCCAAAGAACTAGGCAATTCACCCAACTGTCTTACGAATAATCCGTTTACAGCCCGTTGTTTTTCAATGCCTCCTTTTATTTGACCTTACTTTGATAACCCTAAACCCCCAGACCACACTTTTGTTTTAAAGAAGAAAAGATAAGGCAATTTGCACCTGTTAATAGTCACTACTGAGTGCCAGCTACTGGTCTAAAAACTCAACATATCCCGGCTCGTTTCACCTTCCCGATAGCCCTGTGCAGTGATTCAGTCTTCACGCGCCCCTAATCACTATATGGACTGTGCCTGCAAGGCACATGCTTCCCATTCCAGATTCTGGCTGCAGAGGGACACCTCGCCCACACCCTGACGGTTTAATCTGGCCCTTATTTACTTCCCATAAAAGGCATCGGGCATGAAGCGGGAAAATACACAGTTACAGAAAAAGGAAACACTGTAAGTCAAAGAGAGCCTTAGCTTCAGCCGCAAGCAGCTCTGGGAAGCAGCCCGAATACTGGAGCTAGTGGGGGGTGTCACCAGCGGGTCTGGTGCATCTGGCGCCCCGCGCCCTGGCCTCACTCTGTGCCTCATCCAAACACACAACGGAAGGAAGTAAAAAGGCTTATACACAGTACGTTCTCAGCAGTGGTGCTTACGATATTGAAAAAATAGAAATAACATAAATGTCTATATTATCGAGCAAAACACGGTACACAAAGGTGGCATCATGCACAGTCATTACTAAGGCTGCAGAAATGACACAGATATTCCTTGCATGTTATGATTTCAAATTGTTACACACGTGGACACCATGGCTGCAGCAATACATAGATACAGATGTGTTTATAAAAATATACATGTGGGCATATTTTTAGTAAAAAATGCACACACGGACACACACCCAAAGACCACACATCAAAATGTACGTATCACCTACGAAGTCAGAATGCCTGTGTCCAAGGCGGGCTTCATGACTTACAGCCTGAGACCTTCGGTAATTATTTAATTCATCCAAGTCTCAGCTTCAGCTTCCTTATCAACAACATGGACATAATACTCATAAAGGGAGGGTAAAACAAGTTCACAGGTGAAAAGCACTTAGAATAGTGCCTGGTGCATCAAAAGCTCTTGTACGTGTTCGCTGCCCCTTATTCGTATTTTCAAATTTTTCTGAAATGCATACTAATGGCCTTTGTAATAAGAGAAAAGTCTATCTATTTCAATGTTTAGAGAGTTGATGTTATCTCATCATAGAAGATCTAAGAGCGTCTGTCCTTTTTTTGGTGGCAAGGGGTTCTGGCCGCCAGCACTGAGCAGTGGACAGCTCCAGTCACTGCCTGTCTTTATCTCCAACTTCCTGCTCATCGTTCCTCTTACGGGTCCCGGGGGACCTCAAAGTCAAAATGTCCCAAATAGAACTGATCATGCCCTCTACACCCCAGACAGAACATGTTACCAGAGCCTTTGGTCCCCCCATTGTAACATTTATTACATGTGTCCCCCCACCAGCTGGTGAGAGCCTTGCTGCCAGGTCTGTACCTCCGAAAAACACTCAATGAATGAATGAATGAATGAATGGATCTGTCCTCTATTTTCCCCCATCAGAGCAATCCCCAGCCTACTGCACAGCCATCCAAGCTGAGGGCATGTGTGGTCTTAATTACCTCCCCATATGCAATGGTGTTATTGTATCTTCTCATTTCTGGGTAAACGTGGTCCAGGTACCACTGGAAATTCTTACACTTTAAACTTTTCCTCAAGGCTCTTCTTTCGGAGACATCACCAATGTCAATTCCTGGATTCTGAAAGTAGAGAGAAGCAAGGGGCATTAGTGACTGGGGAGCTCTGGCCGGAGAAGAAGGCGGGTGGCTTTTGAGGAAAGCCATCAGAGAGAAACCTGATGTCCTGCATCCTTGCTTGGGAAGTAGGTTTAAGGGGACTCATTTGATCCCAGAGCCCCAGGCTAGACTACGGTCCCCTGAGTGCAGCACGCGGCCCCCCAAGGAGCCGTCCTTATCATCACCACACAAAAGGGATCCTAGGACACACTGATGTTGACAACCTATGTTCCCAGCATCTTCCCTCCTTTCCTCAGTGACTCTCAGAGCCAGTTATTAGAGGAATTATTTGATTAAGACAGGAAAATAAATGCCTATAACCACCTCCTGTCTTTCTTCTCTATACACGTGTGATTCCCCCCTTTGCTGGCCCTTTGTGAAGTTCGTTATACACCGAAGTGAAAATAATTTTCCATTGCAAAGCTTGTAATGATGTTCTAATGAATAATTCACTCTGCTTTTACAGAAATGAACCTGTAATGGGTTCATTACATGCTGACAAGGGAAAATAAACTAGCTGAAATAGGACTCCACAGGCTCCGCCGCAAGATGGCCGCGAACCAGGAGGGACAGGACGCTGTCTCCACAATGGCGGGCAGCCAGGCGGCAGCTCGGGGGCCAGGGGGAGTTCATATTATTTCGTTAAGATTTCTCCTTTCAACAGCCAAATGGTGGTGTTAAAGGAAAACCCCCCTAAATGTGCATCGGAAGACGGCCAGCCGCCTTGAGCGCTTATGACCCTAAGTCACACTGCCACTGTAAATTCACAAACGGGAATAATAATACTGATTGCACTGATTTCACAGGGCTGTGGGGAGAGTCGAGGAAGGATGTGAGTTCACAGCCCTGCCCTGCCATGTGCTACACGTAGGACCTTACGCAAGTCACACGTCACCTCCCAGAGTTTCAGTCTACTCACCTGTAAAATGGACGTCATAATATCAAGCTAGCATGTATTGAGCCCTTCACAGTTGCTATACTCTAAGCCTTGTTTTTATCTTCACAAGAGCCCCAGGAGATGAATGTCAACAATCCCTGCTTTATAGGCAAGGAAACTGAGGCAGAAAGTTCTTCTGTCATGAGGTCGTTACGGGGGCGCTAAATGAGATACTGCTTAGGGAGTACGTTTAAGGGGACTCCTTTGATCATACTTCCTGAGTGCCAGGGACATAGCCAGGGCTCAGCAAGGGGTACCTATCTTTATATAAATAACCACATGTCAAATCACTTCTGGTTTAACAGCTACAAAGTGCTATTATGGCCAAAAGGGCTTCAATGCTTGGGAACATTATCTCAATAACTGTAACAACATGATACAAATTCTTCACTTTTACCCTCTTTATCTAGAAATCCTGCACATAGTCTGCTGCTCTGGGCTGCCGCCTCCTGAAACCTGAAATCTGCCGGTCCTCAGAGGGAACAATTCTAGGCGACTCTCTCAGGGCATGGCTGAGACACCTACAGGTACTCTGACTGAAGAGATAAACCCAACTTTGGGGGGTCACCCTGCTGTGCTGTGGATCTAAGTGCATTACATGCACCTAGATTGATGATTTTGGTACTCTGTACTTAAACTGAGTACTCTAGTACTTAGATGGGGGTACTTTAGTACTTATTACTTAAGCGAGTACTTTAGATTCAGTTCCCCCAGTCACCTTCAGAAGGATTTTCTAGGCAAGGAGCCTCAGGGACGGAGGCAGTAAATGGATTTGTTCAAGACTGCATAGCTGGTAAGCGGCAGAGCAGGGATTCCAACCAAATCAAGGCACAGCCATCACACAATACTCTTGTCAGGCTTTGGCAACACGGGGGTTTTCTTAGGCTGTATTCTGGAAAGAATATGGAGGAGACTTGAAGAGCCATGTAAACTGGTAGGGGTGTATGTCATGGGGCAGGTGGAGCTCCGTGGGAGGGCACAAAGTGAGGGCAAATCATGGAGTTGTTGGTTAAGAAGCTTCCAGAACACCACGGACGTTCAGGAGCAGGGCATCCGGATGACTACAGTATGGCTGGGATTAATTCAATGAGACCCTTCTACTCTTTGTAACTGGATTTCGAGAGTTCCATTGTGCCAGGCCCCACGTAAAGCAGGGTTTCCAACACCTGGAGATCTGTGAACCCCTTCAAAATGCTCTTACAATTTTGCAAGTGTAAGCATCTTTCTGAGGAGACACCATCAGTGACCTGTCTGACAGGATCACTGGTCCAGGGTGATGGGGAAGGGCTGCTGGGGCCCTACCTCCAGTGGCAGATTCCACGCTATGTACACGTGAGACTTGTAATCATCCATCCAGACCTCAGCAACCCGGAGAGCATTCCTCTTGGTGTAGAAACCGATGTTGCTGTTGTAGGGTTTCTTCTTCCGCTCAATGTGGGCCACCCGTGAGCAAGGCAGGACCTCCATGCTGCCCCCACAGAGCCATACCTGGAGGAGGGAGGACTTGATCAGCCTGACAGGGAAATCCCTAGAGGCCACTGCCCCTCCCCAAGGCCCAAAGGCAACGGTCAGGGGACGCAGCATGGGTGAGAAGTACATTTTAATGTATTTTGAGGTTGGTCTGTTACTGCAATGTAGACTAACCTAACTAAAACAGGTGTAAAAGAAGGCTTGGGAGACTTTTACAGATAAAATAGTTTAGGATATTAAAATAGAGCTCTGGGTAACTAAGGCCCAGAGCCTTAGTTAGGTGGCTCCTGGTGACACATGGATTTTCTTAAGCTCTTCGTAGTGCACAGTTGGCACCCATGGAGGTTTTCTTTCCCACCTGGCTGAAGTTGGGCCTTGCAGACCTAGAACAGAAAATTCAAACTGAAAAGCAAACCATATTTATTCATATCAGCACCAAGGGCACAACAGGCTACTTACGCATCATTAATATGCTCTATGATGGAGTCCTAAGAGCACAGATGCCCAGCCTTCTGGAAGCATTTGCCCCAATGGTATCATGGGCGGGCATCCCTTGTTGTTGCTGGAATTGGAACATGCGGGTGGAAGGCTGATATGGTAGTTGCCTTTGACGGATACAAAAGCCCAAGGAAGTGACACCTGCCATTCTCTGCATGGGCATGGCAGGCATCCAGGCCCAAAAGGCCCTGCTTGCATGGAAAAGCTGAACTGTCCAACTTCTCCCAGTCCCAGGCAGGCAAAACAAAGCACTCCTGATTGTCAGGAAGGACTACTTTGTGGAAATAAACGTACTGGTGGGGAGAGTGTGCTGGTGAGCTGACCCAGTCAGCACAGACAATGTATATGCTCACCCCAACCTGGGATACTTCAAGCCCCTCTACCTTTACTTTCCCAGACCCCCTTCTTGAGGATACTGGGACCCTCCTGCAGGTTTGTACACCATCCCTGGATCTTCATTGATTGAATTCGGTGGCAAGACCCATGCGTGTGTGGTCTTCTGTTTCTATTTCCCAACTCTGGCTGCACCATAGGGAAATGATACAGATGGAAAATTCTGCCCACAACCATGAATCCTCACCTTCAAGGAGGAGACTGTAAGCTAAGGGTTTGGTAGACAGTGAGTGGTCCAGAGGAGCTTGATTTGGGGACCTGACCATTAGGTTCCCCCTGCGTCGTCATGGCAGCTGCTGACAGTGGAAGGAAGCAATGTCAAGGAGGCAAATACGGCCAATGCCTGTAGGGAATGGGGGCAAGAGACCTTACCAGGTAAAACCAGGTAGCTGAATTTCTGGGGTGGGCAACAGGCAAAGATACAGAGTGGCACAGGTATGTGGCATTGCAGTTTCAAGATTCAGGGAATGAATGGAAAGACATCCCATATTCATGGATTGGAAGGCCCAATATTGTTAAGACGGCAACACTTTCCATATTGATTTAAAGACAACACAATCCTCATCCAAACCCCAGATGGCTTCTTTGCAGAAATTAGCAAACTAATCCTAAAATACATGTAGAAATACAAGAGACTCCAAAAAACCTTGGAAAGAGCAAAGCTGGAGGACTTCCACCTCTGATTTCAACTTACCACAAAGCTACTATAATCAAGACAGTGCGGTGGAGGAATAAGGATAGACGACAGGATAGAACGGAGAGTCTAGAAATAAACCCTCACCTCTACAACTGACTGACTTTCAACAAGGGTGCCAAGACAATCCAACGGGGGGAAATAGTCTTTTCAATAAGTTGTACTGGGACAACATGCCAAAGAATGAATCTGGACCACCACATCACAACATATGCAAACTTGAAATGGATCCAAGACATAAATGTAAGAGCTAAAACTGTAGAACTCTTAGAAGTAAACATAAGGGCAAATTTTCACAACCTACGACTAGGCAAATATTCGCCAACTGATAAAAGGATTAACAAAAGATGATATATCCATACAATGGAATATTACTGAGCGACAAAAACAAGTAAGTGCTACCCTATGGATGAACCTTGAAAACATTATGCTAAGGGAAAGAGGCCAGTCATAAAGGACAGCGTACTCTATGATTGCATTTAAGTAAAATGTTCAGTATAAGAAAATCCATACAGACAGAAAGAAAATTAAGGGTTGCCTAGGACTAGGGGTGGGGTTGGAGGAAGGTAGAGTGGGGATGGGGTTTCTTTTTATGGCGACAAAAAAAATGTGCTGATATCAATTGAGGTGATCACTGAACAACTCCTTGAATATACTAAAAACATTGAGTCGTGCACTTAATTTTTAAATATTTTCATGTTTGCTCATTTATTTTGGGAGAGAGAGAGAGCATGAGCAGAGAAAGGGCAGAGAGAGAGAGAGGGAGAGAGAGAATCCCAAGCAGGTTCCACACTGTTAGTGCAGAGCCCAACGCGGGGTTGGATCTCACGAACTGTGAGATCATGACTTGAGCTGAAACCAAGAGCTGGGTGCTCAATCGAAGGAGCCACCCAGGCGCCTCGGAGTTGTGCACTTTAAAAGAGTGAATCATAATGGTATGTGAAGATCTCAACAAAGCGGTGACAAAAATAAACAGATAGATAGAGAAGTAATTCCCTAGAGAGATGGGAAAAGAAGATTCAAGGAGTAGATTCCAGTTTGGGAAGCTAAGGAGAAATAATGCAATCCAAAGCAGAGTTGTGTGAAAACCAGTTCCAGAGTAGGGATAACGTGTTCAGGTGTATGAGGGGCCTCAGCAAAAGCCAGAAACCCCGTAACAAGAACAGAGGTTCCAGGCGGGAACAGAACCCACAGGCAGACCAACTTGGTGCCAGTCTTCTGTAAGCAGTCCAGACCAAGGTCAGGATAGACCAAGATCGGGATTGTTCCGATTGTTTCAGGTTGTCCCTAGGGAAAGTTGTTTCCGACGTCCCTTGCTAGGAGTGGGCTGACAGAGCAGAGGGTCCAGGTCAGACCCCAAGCCTCTTAAACAAGAGTGGGAGATGGTGTGCCAGCTGGGAGGCAGGCCGCACAGCACATCTGTCGTGTGTAGCAGGGACTGTGGCTTCCTCTTCTGGACTCTGCCATGTGGATACCAGTTGGCATACTCATGGACACCAACTGAGAGCCACTTAGGTTTTCCTGTATGGTCTGGAGAGAGGCAAAGGGTTCTTGGACTGTTTAGCATCTTGATGTTACAGACAGCCCTCTCCTGGGCCCAGCAAACCTGGAGTGAATGACCAGTGTCAGCACTGGCCCGGATGCCTGTAACATCATCACAGACCTCTTCTGCCTGGAACACATTCCTGTTACCATCCTGTGCCAGCCTGGCCTTGGTCTACACCTCAGTCTGTCACCTCTAGTGACTCGGACTGGATTTAGGGTCATAAGCACGAGCAACTCGCAACAGCAGATCTTGTATGAGACAGAAAATGACAGCACTGAAACACACAGGCTGCAAACTACTCTGGAGACACCGGGCAGAGGAGGTAATTTAAAGTTAGGGAAGAAATAAAGAGAGGAAGGAAGGAAGGAAGGAAGGAAGGAAGGAAGGAAGGAAAGGAGGGAGGAAGGGAGGAAGAGAGAAGAAGAAGAAGAAGAAGAAGAAGAAGAAGAAGAAGAAGAAGAAGAAGAAGAAGAAGGAGGGAGAGGAAGGAAAAAACAGAAAAGAAAAAGAAGAAGAAAGACACACAAACACCCAGTAGGTGTGGGAGGCAAACTGAGCCCAGTCCTTTGGGCCTTGAGGAGCAGCCCTAGCCTCCTCTCTGCTTTATCCTTCCTCCATCCTCCACTTCCACAGACCCTCCACTCACAGAGGTGAGTGTCTTCGCTAGGCCTGCTCCAAAACATAGGACCAGCCAAATCCTTACAACCAGGCACCAACACCAAGTACCTCATGAAATCCTCACAGATGAGGAAACTGAGGGTCCAAGAGGTTGAGTAAGTTGTTTACAATCCATAGTCAGTAAGTGGGGGACCCAGAATCACACCCTAACCCCGGGCCACACCAACAGGCCAGTCCTTACTCGGTGGGCACCTGCAGCTCTGACCCCACCAATCCAGGGGGAGCGGGCCTGCGGTCATGGATCCTCCAGAATTTCCTCAGCCACAGCTTGCACCTCACTCAAGATGTCTGGCCAGTGCCTCTGTGGGTGGGGTGAGTGAGGGGGACAGGGTGCGCATCCATGGCCTGAGGAAACTCAGTGGGCCCGAAGTGGCACCAACGATACCCTCAGGGTCAGGGGTGTCATCGTTGGGGGTGCCAAGGTCAGCCTCCTGCCGCACAAAGCCATCTCCAGTGCGATGCAAGGGGAACGGAAGGAGCCAGTGGGTCAAGTGATTCTCAAGTCTTGGGAGGCTCTTCTCCAAGTTGGCAGGAGTGGTCACAGCAGAGCTCATGAGCTGGCCCTAAGTGTTGACAGGGTGACGTGAAGTCTGTCCGTGGTCAAATGACTGAGTGTAGATGTAGTGTAGAAGTGAAGCCATTCATGAGGGCAGACTGAATACCTTAGAAACAAAGCGACAGGTTAACTAAGGCAGCTGCTGAGGGCTGATCCAGGGGACTGATACTCACGCAGTTTCCTACTCTACCTGAGAGCTATGACAGCAAAAAGGTAGCTCCATAAACGGAGTGATCGATTCATCCTTCCGCCAGACATAAGCACTAGCTACACGCGTCCCAAGTACAGCTGCTCCCGAGGAAGTTATCTTTCCTTCCGTTACCATTTGTTGGCCCAAATAGCGAGGTTCTATGGAGACTGGGGGACATTATACCAAGGGAAATAAATAAGTAGGTGGGGATGAAAGACTGATTGGCACATCTGTGATGCCAGGGAGGAAGAAGAGAGGAAACGACCATCCTGGAATAGCACTCCAGGCCCGGAGGTCCTCCCCAGAGGAGGAGGTAGGCCCTCCAGATGGGCTGGAATGGGCCAGGAAGATAGCACAGTCCAAGCTCGGGGACAAGTCCTGGTGGGATAGAAGCCACAGCAAGGCTCTTGGTGACCCTCTGCCTGGGAAGTGGTGGCCATCAGGAGACGTGCTGACCCCAATA